TTATATTTACAAATACTACGAAATCCTTCCATATTTACAAGGACTGTGAAATCCTTTCATATTTACAAGGACTATGGAATCCTTTCATATTTACGATGACTACGCAATCATTCCATTTTTACAATGACTACGGAATCGCCCCATATTTACAATGACTAAGGAATGGTCCCATATGTGCAATGACTGTGGAATCGTCCCATATGTTCAATGACTACGGAATCGTCCCATGTGTTCAAAGACTACGAAATCTTTCCAAATGAACAATGACTAGGAATGCTTGCGCCTGTCGTGTTGTAACAGATGTTTGTTATTAAATTAAATTTAATTTAACTATTAACAGTGCATGCACATGGAATGCTCTTCTAATAACCACTCGTTTCCCCGCGAATTGTTTTTGATGTATATTCAGTGAATTCAATGTATTCAAGTAAATGTGAAATGGAAAAACGATGTCAGTTCTGTGAGTTTCTGATAAGCGGTTTGTAACTACAGTGTATAATGTGTCATTGAACCCCCGTTCAATATTTGAACCATTCTACGATATCCTTCATATCAACGCATTTGGTAGTATTTTTTAAATGTACGTCTTTTTATTTACTTCGTTATTATAACTATCATTAAAATAATTGCTTATTTGAAATATTGTATTACTCTGTAATCGCATGTAATAGTCGTGTAGTTCAGTGACTATGTCAAGTCCCAGGTGAGAATGCTCAGTAATTTCCATGTAGTTTAATGAATATGTCAAATCCCCAGATGGGAGTGCACGGTAATTTAAACCGACCAGCATAAAAAGAACAGCGCTGACTCGTAATTACTCTCAACTCATTCACAATAAATGACCCTTTTTAAAAATAAGAAATAAATGTGTTGTTCCGCCATCCATTCTATCAGGAAAACGAATTATTAATACTCGGGTTTGCACTTGTCTGGGTTACAGATATTTTTATCATCACCGTTTTGAGCTCTCCTTATTGCCCGTATCATCATGTCTGCACGAACGTCAAGGGAACTCTCCGTAATGTCGCTGTTCATGCCCGTGATACTAATACTGGGTAGTACCATGTACTCAGGTATGTTGTATTTTAGTGATTTTTCTCAACGGGAGACACTTCGCTTGTGCTAACGTGTCATGCAGTAAAACTCGTCATGTGTTTTTGCTGTGCTCCGTAGGCATAGACCAATACAAAGGCTTGTTAGAACCAACTATACCGATTCACCAAATTACCGTTATTTATAAGCTCATGGTTGTTGACTGTTAACATACTAAGTCAAGCTGATAGCACCGAATACACAACAGAGTAAATATTACGCTACCATCGTAAACTACACGCGCGTGTGACTTGTATACACACATCGCTTTTGTACTCAACCACGGAGCACCCCCACATCAAACTCAGTCGTATACAATGGTGACACATTTAAGGATGCAGCTTTTTTAATAGTAAATAATACTGAGAATTAATTATAAACACTACACTTACACTACACTACACTACACTACACTACACTACACTACACTACACTACACTTACACTACACTACACTACACTAAACTACACTTACACTTACACTTACACTAAACTACACTACACTACACTACACTTACACTACACTACACTACACTACACTTACACTACACTGCACTGCACTACACTACACTACACTGCACTACGCTACACTACACTGCACTGCACTGCGCTGCGCTACACTACACTACACTGCGCTACACTACACTACACTACACTGCACTGCGCTACGCTATGCTACACTACACTACACTGCACTGCACTGCACTGCGCTGCGCTACACTACACTAAACTACACTACACTGCACTGCGCTACACTACACTACACTACACTGCGCTGCGCTGCGCTACGCTACACTACACTAAACTACACTACACTGCACTGCGCTACGCTACGCTACACTACACTACACTACACTACACTACACGCAAACAGTTTTTCTTCTCGTAATATGTGGAACTCAAAACTGACGCATAATTAATAATTGTCGTGTTGCCGAGGTAAATCTGCCTAGTCTATAGCTTCATTTAGGAAAAAAACAAATAACAAATTCAAAATAACAAGCAGGAAAATTTAACGAAGAGACATATTTATTGATTACGATAAATTATTCTTATCCGTTAATCATAATCCGTCTGTTATAATTGTATTGAATCACGTGATACCTACATGTTTATTAATTAATTTTACCAATGATAATTGATCTGCAAATTAAATCGCTCAAATGGCTGGTACTTAATTGAGAAACAAATTGAGAAACAAATAAATCAGGCGTAAATCGATGTTTGTGTGTTAATATCGATCTTACACATTAATATTTGTTTGTGAATGTGTACACGCTTTCCGTTCACGTAACGTGCTCGTGCATTTAAATCGAGAGAAGAAACGTGATTGGCTATACTGCGGCCACATGGGGAATAGCGCTGATGCACGGGACAAAAAATATGTTAATACTTTTCCGCGCAGTTCCAATTTGATGTCACTTTGGTAATATGTAACGGTACAGTAAGCACCCACATCTGTGCATGCATGGAACACTACCTGGTTGTATACATGAACAAACGGTACCTTGAACATGCCATTATTAGGACAACACTCTGATAAAATAAATTAAGCTGGATATATTTTCTAAATCTTCTACAGCATTATACGGTTTACTGGTGTACTTTAAAAAAACGAATTAAAGGTCAGTGTAGATGATATTTGTTACATAAAATTGTAGACTTTCTTTTGACGCAGAAGTATGTTTAAATCATAGCAACTTTTACTCATTCCTATATACAAACAAAATAGGTGTTGTTTACCCAGCAGTCACGTGACATTGATAGGCGTAAAATAGATATAAGTATGGATATTTTGTTGGGCGAGACTTACAATAACATATGTAAATTATTATGAATTAAACAGTGCAGGGTTTCTATGTTTACACGAACGTCTACTATATCGTAACACATGATAGCATTAGCATGGTTAAGTAATATCTCCTAATTATATAATTACAAAATAATTAACAAAAAAGGAACAAATATCCAATCCGACATGCTTCTGTGACCTCAATTCTGACACTCTAGTAAAAGCCATAATGTAATATTTTAACTCATTTTCAGTTTTCTCGAAATTATCTGTAACCATAGTGAAAGAGCCAACACTGGAGTGGAGGTCATCAAACGTCAGACAAACATTGTGTGGGGTCATCAAGGGTCAGACAAACACTGAGGTGGGGTCATCAAGGGTCAGCCAAACACTGAAGTGGGGTCATCATTGGTCTGACAAACACTGAAGTGGGGTCATCATTGGTCTGACAAACACTGAAGTGGGGTCATCAAGGGTCAGCCAAACACTGAAGTGGGGTCATCAATGGTCTGACAAACACTGAAGTGGGGTCATCAATGGTCTGACAAACACTGAGGTGGGGTCATCAATGGTCTGACAAATACTGAGGTGGGGTCATCAATGGTCTGACAAACACTGAGGTGGGGTCATCAATGGTCTGACAAATACTGAGGTGGGGTCATCAATGGTCTGACAAACACTGAGGTGGGGTCATCAATGGTCTGACAAACACTGAGGTGGGGTCATCAATGGTCTGACAAACACTGAGGTGGGGTCACCAAGGGTCAGCCAAACACTGAAGTGGGGTCATCATCGGTCAGACAAACACTGAGGTGGGAGATTCAAGGGTCAGCCAAACACTGAAATGGGGTCATCAATGGTCTGACAAACACTGAAGTGGGGTCATCAAGGGTCAGCCAAACACTGAAGTGGGGTCATCAATGGTCTGACAAACACTGAAGTGGGGTCATCAATGGTCTGACAAACACTGAGGTGGGGTCATCAATGGTCTGACAAACACTGAGGTGGGGTCATCAATGGTCTGACAAACACTGAGGTGGTGTCATCAAGGGTCAGCCAAACACTGAAGTGGGGTCATCATCGGTCAGACAAACACTGAGGTGGGAGATTCAAGGGTCAGACAAATACTGAGGTGCAAGTCATGTATGGTCAGACAAACACTGAGGTGGTGTCATCAAAGGTCAGACAAATACTGAGGTGGTGTCATCAAAGGTCGTACAAACACTGAGGTGGGGGATTCAAGGGTCAGACAAATACTGAGGTGAACGGGGTCAACAAGGGTCAGAAAAACACTGGGGGTCATCAAGGGTCAAACAAACACTGAAATGAGGAGGTCATCAAGGTTAAGGCAAACACTAAGGTGGGGGAGGCCATGTTGGGTCATGTTAGTCTAAGAAATACTCGTATGTCTAACAATAGTATTGGCATCATTACATATAAATCATGTTATTAACAAACTGGGCAAGCTGCGGGAACTGTCCTTTCATCCACTAAAATGTAGGCTAATGTATAACCGAGGCAGTGTAATTAAAAAGGGCAGTGTTTTATAATTACATGTAAAGATGAGGGTTCCACCCAAAGAGTAATGATATTTAAATGAGTTGTGCCCCCAGTAACGGTGTTACTTCGATATTTTGGAAGTTTGACAGTTGTATCCAACTTCACCAGAAATTCCTCAAATAACTTCTTTTCACTTGTCAGGGACGTTTCAAATAAGTGCTTGAAATGTAATATTATTTGTTTTAATATGCCCAATATTGACGGAAATGAGATTGAAAATATGTAAAATACAATCTGGGTTCGACTAATTAATATCACACTAGATAATCCACAAAACCCTCAATATTTTCCTGGCAGAGAGATTAAAAGCTGTTCAAGTGATATAACAAAATGCATTTTCCCGTTTAGTCAAAGTAAACACAGTTCAGCACTCAACAACTGGATGAGTTATTTTAGTCTGAGACAAATTGAGAAACATTCTGGACGTTGTGGACGTGCAACGATAAAAAGGGAGTTGTTAGTATATAGTGTAAGATTGTTTCAATAAAATTACTTAAGTTACATGAATAATTGTGGGTAATATTTGGCATGTCTTCGGGCTATGCTTCTTTGGGTAATTTTGATGATGTCTGTGTTGAGCAAACTTAAGGTAGCGAGAGGGGAAACATAATTTATAGTTTAATGGAGTTTAGGACTTTCCTCACCAGTTACTAAGCATGCAGTTATGGCAATGTATATGTTTTCAGAAAGCTGAGATATAGCAGAGTACGATCATATATGTTTCGTCTTGATATTTGCTCAGGGGATTAAGTTACGATCGTTCCCGTTAACCTCCTAAACGGAGAGTTTTTTTGCGGGATTGGCCGTTTCTCGGTGTTCCTTTTTT